CCCCATTTCTTAATTTTAATTTTACATTTGATGAGACTAATAATTAATATATCTATATACAGTATCTAAAAGAATAGATTTAAAAATTATATTGCGATTTCAGTTGTATTTCAATAAATTGTGTAGCCCCATTTAATTTTTACATTTTACATTTTAATTTTACATTTGACAAAAATCTAATAATCAATATGTCTACAGTATATATCTAAAAGTATATTTATTAATTATATTGTGATTTCCGTTTTTATTTTAATTAATTGTGCAGCCTCATTTCTTTATTTATTATTTAATTATAATTAAATAACCCCCCTGCAGTTCCCTCACGAACCCTGTTCTAGGTAATAGACAAAATAATATAGTTATGTTAAATCAGCAGTAAAACATTTTGGCAATACTTTATTTTTAAGGACCAATTCTCGCTATTAATTAGTTGCTTATTAGCATGAACATTAGCATATTGGCTGTTTATTAGTACTTATAAAGCACATATTAATGCCTTATTCTGCACGACCGTATTTTAGCTCCCTTAATCCTTCCCCTTACCTAAACTATTAATAAGCAGCAAATTAGGAGTTTGTTCAGGGAAAACTCTTAGTTAATAGTGAATATTTGTTCCTTATTCTTACCATTTTGTTTTCCAGACTGGTCCACTTATGTGCTTCCTCTAAGGTAAATGAGCTAAATTGGTTCTTTTAACTGAAAGGTGAGACTTCCATTATTGCTGTTACCATATTTCTCTCGTCTCTGATCTGGTACCTGTTGAACACACACCATGCTGGTTTAAAAGAGACTTTGCAGCATGTCAGCTTTAACCAAAGGTGCCCACAAATGGTTTCAGTAATTCCTCCATGTACCTGCAGCACCGCAATGCTTCATTACTCCCCAGAGTGTGGCCAGAGCAGAGGCTGAAGAGCTCTCTCTGAGTAATTTACTTATTACTGGGTTTCTGATGGATGTAGTGCATTATTGACAGGCCTTTTTCACACTGTGATAATGGTGTAATGAAACACCAGTGTACGGATGGGAGGATGGTGTGATGTTGGATGCATGAACGATGGCGGCAGGAGAGACTAAATAAGTGAAGGAAAGCAATGGGGGAAATGAAGTGGCTTCTTTAAATTAGGTTGGAGTGTGTTGAAGTGTGTCGATTTGTTCCATGCTGAGTGGCTGCTCTTAAAGCGCTCTGAACTTAAACCCGCATCGGAAGAAAAAGTTTTGAAAGATCCATCCTGGTTTGTTATTTCTTGCACACATCAGCGTGGAAAAGAAAGATTGAAAAGGAAATATCAAAGATACTGTTTATAGGATCCTTGAATCATCAGTGCAAGTGACGCAGCACTTTACGCTCGATTTCAGTGTTCTTTAACATGGAGGCCTAATCATTAGTCATTTCCTCTCAGAATTAAAACATTCTGGATTTCCACTAATTATTGTTTATGAAAATTGATGCAATAAAAAGCAAATAAACAACATCAAAGAGATATTTAAGAAGAAAATCTTCCCTCCCATATTAAAATGAAACATAAAAATAGTATTAATAAATATAGTAATAATAGTATTATAAATTTACTAAATTCACTTATTAATAGAAATTAAATGTTTATGACCCTGGATATTATTAATTTATTTATATTAGTATTATTATATATATTATTATTTTCATATTATTATTATTATAAATGTATATATAGGTTTTTTTTTTAAAGAAAGGAATATTAAGGTTATGAATATTAATATTAAGAAGCATTCAACTGATTAAAAGTGACAGTAAAGACATTTACAATGTTACAAAACATTTCTATTTTAAATAAATGCTGTTCATTTCAACTTTCTTTTGATCAATGAATCCTAAAAAGTTTCATGGTTTCCACAAAAATATTAAGTAGCACAACTGTTTTCAACACTGATAATAATAAGAGATGTTTCTTGAACAGCAAATCAGCATATTAGAATGATTTCTGAAGGATCATGTGACACTGAAGACTGGAGTAATGGCTGCTGAAAATTCAGCTTTTTCGGCAGAAGGAGGAGCAAGCATGGCAGGGAGGATCAGACTTACCGCAACAATGAGTAATTAAAGACATTTTAAGATGACTTTTGTCAAAATGGCTAAAAAATCATAAAAACAATCAATTGCAATATGATTTATCACGGTTTATCACTTTTTACCAATAGGTGGCGCTATTACCAAATTGGCGTGGTGTGGTCAGTGTGAGGTAACAATGACACACAAAGTTTGGTGTCAATATGTCAAAGCTTTGCAGAGATAAGCCTCAGATGCAGTTTGGCATCATGCCATCAAATTTGTTGATGCGGTAAATGAAAATTATTGCACCTATCGACACAAAATCCATACTTTTTTTGCTGGCATGGTCTGAAGATGATATGAATCAAATTTGGTGAAAATTGGACCAACGGCTTAGGAGGAGTTTGAAAGAGTAGGTTTGCAACGTAAACAAATAATGGCGGACAGGAAGTTCAGCTGATTATGATATAATTGGTAATGATGTTCTCTGCATAATCCAAGGAATCTAACAAGACCAGTCACATGACAAGAGGCAGAACTATTCATAAGCTATTAGCATTTTTTAATTTTCATTATGAATGGTTAATGGCTTCATAGTAATGGTTTACCACTTTATTTTATAATGAAAGATTTTCCCTGCAATTGCCCATGTAATTGAATCCTGTAACTCAAGCTGGTGTGTGAGCTGTGCTGTGAACATTGGCAAACAGATCTAGCATGCTTGCCCTATACTCGCTCCTCACAACCTGAAAAAGTGCCAACTTTCCACAGCTCTGCCACATACTCGCTTCATATAGATCCAGAGAGAGAGAGAGGAACAGAGTGGATGAAACAGAGACTGTGAGACAATCAGAGAGAGAGAGCGAGAGAGAGATGAGTTGAAGAGGGTATGAGAAACATAGTAAGGGTGACAAACTGTCAAGGAACCCACTGTGAACCATGCAACCTATCATCATAACAGTGGCAGTACTTGTCCCTGTGTCTCCATAGCAACAGGAAAAGCCAAAGAAAGACCTGTGATGGTCATCAGAAACTTTGATTAAAGAGCAATGGAGTTAATAGGGAGGAAAAATGGAGGAGAACCACTGGCTGAAATGTCTGAAAGGCACAAGATGTCATGAAGTGACCAGCGAAGAGTCGAGATAACATGCGAAGAGACCACCTGAGTCGAGATGACAAGACAGGCAGAGAAGAGAAGAGAAGAGAAGAGAAGAGAAGAGAAGAGAAGAGAAGAGAAGAGAAGAGAAGAGAAGAGAAGAGAAGAGAAGAGAAGAGAAGAGAAGAGAAGAGAAGAGAAGAGATGGCTAAACAACATGACATTTGACCCCTCCCTATAAACACAAACATTTTTCAATGAGCCAGTTATTTTAGTATTATTGAGTATTATAGTTTTCTTAATATTTTGAATCAGGTTTTTTGTTTAAGTTTTAGTTAAAGTTGTAAAGTTAAAATGTATTTGTCATTATATATATATATATATATACAGTATATATACATTTATACTTATACATAATAATAAATAAATAAATATTAATATTTATTTTATATTAATGTTTCTTTCAAGTAATGACATTTTTTTAATGGTTTTAATTTTAGTTTCAGTTTTAGTTAACTATAATAACACTGCCACATGAGCATTAATTACCACATCACATTATCAAAATTCTGGCGAACCAAGCAGCTTTCTGTTGGACTCACGTGACAAACTTGAACCCGTTGCAAAATCTTGTGGTGAAATCTTTCTTTCACACAAACTTCCCAATCACATGGATTCCTATTGAACTGACTGAATTTCAAATTCACAGAACAACAGTAAATGTGACTGCACTGTAAAAGCATACAAGGGGCCATTCACATATAATGGATTTTTGAATAAAAAAGTGACGCGCTAGAGATGTGTTTTTTAAAAGGTGAACTTATTTTAATTTCAGTTCCACATTTTAAAATGGTGTGTCACATGCAAAACTGTCTGTCCATTTTCTCTCCATTGATCACCTTCACTCTCTTTTCACCGGTTCCTGCAATCAGCCTCTCCTGCAGAGCCATTACTTTCTCTTTCCTGAAAATAATGATTCATGCTTAATTATGGCATACTCTTATGCTACAGAGGTGTATGTGTGCTCAGTCAGTCATCTTTACCGAATTATTCAGTCATGAACATATTCATGTTCATTTGCATTGAGTGTGTCCGAAAGAGAGATTTATTTACTACAGCTCATAAGCATCAATCTTACAAATGAGGAGCAACAGGCTCCGACTGCGTTCAAGGGTGGGATGAATATCTCACATTTAACTCTTACACTTAAAATACACATGAACAAAAGGTCATGAGAATAATGCTACACTGTGAATCTAGTGGAACACTTACTTACAGTATATTGTTTAATGGCATCATTAAATTCTTCAATCTTTATGAGTGATTGTTAATTTTATTCTGAGGCTCATGGTCACTGACATCCAGATAGCAAATAATAGCAAACTATTTTCAGCTTTTCAGCATAATTACATAATGATGGCCTTTTTACTCTTATATTTCTGTAAACTTTTCAAACCCTGGGTGGACCTATGAAAGCTTCTGCCACAGAATAAAAAAAAAAGTCATTATGACTCACAATTAAAATTCACAATTCTGTCTGAACATGTTAAACATGTTTTTTCTTTTTGGCAGAAATAAGCTTTCATAGGATCCAGATATGGACTGAGAGGAATCCATTTGACTAATCAGTATTTTTGTCGTTTTCCATCAAAAATACTAAACAACCTTAAACAAGATACATTTACTTCACTAAATATATTTTTTAGAGAATATATTCAATTGTTACTGGCAAAGGAAAAAATTAAAAAAAATTTAAAAATAACAAATTTACTTACACTAATTTGGATTTCATGTTTTTGATTGAATTAACTGATCTTGTTTCATGGGTAAATTATTATAATTTTTTTGCATAACAGGCCGACTGTCAAGCAAACGTACCCTTTTCAAAATGATGCGAGACATGGTGGCATTGGCATCCACTATGATGGTGGCAGTCTTGTCATCACGGATCTCCTTGAGAAGGGGGGTGGGATCTTGACTGTCATCCAGCATGCGAACAGAAAGGGTTTCCTTGGAGATGAGAAACTGTCGCAGTAACACCTCCAGGTTTAATAGGCCTGTTGAAAAGGGGCACACACAAAACACTTCAACGTCCTGACTTATGTCACCTTTCCTCACAACAAGAAATACAGTACATCCTCCCTCTCTTTTCACAGCAATTATGATACTATGGGATCGTCCCTTTTAAGGGACTAGAGTCAATTTTCTGTGGGTCTGAATATAATGCTATTATATTTGTCTGACAAATTTGAGCAAAATTATCTGCCAATTTTTTTTAAAATCAAATTTAACATAGATAACAACACTTTTTTTACTGTTCTGTATGTCTAACTTAATTAGCGAAATCATAATCACCCGAGTGTTTAATCTCGATTCCTTTGGCAATTATGAGGCCCAGGAGAATACAGGACTTACAATACAACACTGTACACAACAGAACGTGACATTGGTTTACTATGAATATGATCTGACTCTTTAAATCTGAAAGGCTTTTGCTGCTGACTTTAAGCATTAAGCGGCCGATGTCATTGCTCACAGCTGTCATCTCAATTTCCTGCAGAGTTACTCAGCGTATGTTTGATTAACCATGAGCATTCGGTTTCTGTCTTTCGCTCATTGCACATCACATGCAATTTCACATTTACACTACATTAAACACGGTGCTATAGCATTGCTAGCTAACACATGCGCTGACGGCACCAATCAAGTTGGACAGGAACTTGTGAGAACAGCAAAACACTGAGTTTTTATATCAACTCTGCTAACTTTGCTCGGACTTCGAATTAGGGAGGATTGGCTAACAGGGCAAAATGTGAGGACTCAAGGAAGGTAAATGAGAAGATGAAAGAGTATAGGGTTAAGTTAGCACTGTGGGTAAGGTGTTAAAGAGAAGCTTCTAGCACTGGCAAGAGAAAAGCACAAATCCGCTTCCCACACAGAGACTGCGATAAAGGCTTAGCCTCCATTCACTCTGAGCAGCCAGTCATTTCCTCAGCTATGACTTTCCACTGGGCTTTTACAAAGCGCCAAGTTCATTTATCTTTAAAGCACACACACAACATGGACATATGCTACAGCTGAAAATACACACATGCTTAAAAGCTCAGCAGAGCACAGTGCAAGCATAGCAGAAGACTAGTCGCACAGGTAAATAACAGAAGTACATACACATGCACTCGGCGGACTGGATTTGACTACGCTACAATGTGTAAACAATTCCTCAAATCTGAGGTAAAGTCAGCCGTTTTGTTAATTTCATCCTTGCTGAAAAAACAAACAAACATCCAAAGCCATCCTACACAGATTTGCTGGTCTAATGCAGTCTCCCATCCTGGTTAGGCTGGTTTTAGAAGGGGTTTGGGCACACATGAGCAAGCTAAACCAACTAAACACCTGCTTCCCAGCTAATAGGGAATGTTCTCAGAACTTCTGCAAATTCCGGAAAGGTTCTCTGAAAGTTATGAACAAACTTTCTTCCAGTAACGTTAATAGAGTGTTCATGCAAAGATTTTTTCTAAAACATTTCAGATGGATGCCCATCTAACATTTGTAAATGAATTAAGAAGAAAACATTCCCATAATGTTTGGAATTGATAAAATGGAATGTTCCCTTAATGTTCGCATTACCAAGGAAAACTTTTGGACATTTTGAATGTTCAGAAAACATTCAGAAATAAGGTTTTAAAGCTTAATATGAACTTTAGAAAAATGTTCTTAGAACATATTTTTGTTAGCTAGATTAGCCAGTGTGGGGCTAGACCAGCAAACCAGCTTAGTATGGTTTTGGATGTTTGTTTTTTTCAATAGTCTCAACCACACATCTGCTCTCTAGAATGTACTGTATATTTTATGTCTGTATTAATGTTGCGATGACACAGAAGTAGTGACAGATCTTTTCTTCCATATTGTGAATACAGTATATCATCTGAGCGAAATGGATCAATGAAAAAAAAAGTAAGATGTGGACTTGGTTCTATACAGTAGTCATTAATTGGATTTTGAGATGTGAACACAAGCTTGGTGTCGATTGTGGAGGGCCAGGGTTTAAGCAGACTAAATGATTGGAGAAACCCAGGCATTTCGAAAATAAAAGTGAATTATTATTTCATGCCAACTTAAAACTCATATAGCACCTTTTCATCCTTTCTTTGACATGGGGTGTCAGTACATACAAGCATTAGAATATTTAACACTTTGAAAAGTTTTTGAAGAGTCACGATTCATTGTGTTGCTGTCAAAATAAGCAAGTTAGACAGAAAGAAGGGAAAGCTCAAGTAGTGTGAGCCACTGAAAAAAAATTGTGTTTAACAACGCATGTCAGAATCCCATTACACTCCTTATTACATTAAATTAATGTCTTCCAGCACAAAGGAGAGAACTTCAGAAACAAACACAGCCAGACAAAAGAGAGTTCCCAACGTCCTGCTTCATATCAAGTGCCCTTTTCTAGAAAGGCGATCCTTTCTCTATGACTTCCGTGACTTCGACTTTTCATTTCAGGGGCTTTTTGTTTGATTTTACATTCCCATCCTTATTTTATCTACACATTTATCGTATTCTTCTTGAAGAGGCAGGAGAATTAGATCATCCCAATTCACCCACGTTTGGGGTTCTCGTCTCTCTGTGGGACGCAGGCTGAATTCTCTCACTTAATCATCTTTAATTACAGATCACTTCAAAGCAATGAGAAGAATGTCGGGCAAACAAGTAGTACAATATTTCTGTTCCTAGCGGAGAGGCGCTGACAGGTGGGAAACCTCTTTGAAGTATGTGCTTGATTCACTGTGTTCAATCTGGGCACCAAAGCTGAGTTCCTTTCAATTAAAGCCATGAGCTCCTTTAGTTCAAGAGGACAAACTTGAAAGAGATTGTAGCGCTCACCTGTCTGACCCCGTTCAGAATAATTTGGGTAATGCCTTACGAACACAGGGTCTTGGTGATCTTCTGGGTCTCCTGACTGGATAGTACAGGTCAGCTAATTTTGTTCAATAATGAGACCTTACTCACCTCACAACACGGTACAGACCTGTGCAGCCAGACGAAGCCTAGTGCCTCATCCAAAGGAGTATTATACAGACTCCTAAGTCATACCTAAATGACGAAGTGACATCTGGAAATTGGCTTATGGTACAACTAGAACCATAAACACAGTCTCAAAACCTTTACTAGTGACTATCCTGAGCTGTTACATATTACTTTTACACAACAACTTTGCAAAATGGTGCAAACATATAGTATAAGTAGGCTGATTTCAGGTTCACCTGACCCCGTTTGATGTGTTTTTTTGAGGGCATTGTCTCTAGACCTTTTTTTTAAAAGTTGGACATATGTCTTCCCGTGTGGCTTTGTTCTAGACCTTTTCTCCCCTTTTTCCCTATTCCTTCTCCACTATCCTGTCAAATTAAGGCAAAAAGCCCCCAATATTAGCCACTTACATTTCCATTTATGCATTTGGCAGACTGACATTGCATTCAAGCTATACATTTTATCAGTTCAATTAAAAAAGTTGGACCATTTTAAAGAATTTACAGACAGATTTTCAAAGAGGGTTACACCGACAAATTAAGCTCAGAATGCTAATTAAAACACACATATCGCGCTAGACATATCAAAATGAAAATATGTATTTTATATAAAATGATCACAGTCGGTTGCTTATAGATAAACTCATATGTTCAATAGCCTCCAGGTTGTATAGGTTAGTCGAACGAATAACTGTCCTTGTATGGTGTCATCTCAGCAAGCCAGCTCTGTGAAGTATTCATGAGTGGGCCATGCTCTATTAAGCTGTCAGCGTGCTAAGTGATTAATGAGAGCTGTACATCCTGTGAGACTGAGCGTGAGAGAAAAAGAAACAGTAACGGAAGACGACAAGCAAACAGAGGCGCAGGTGAACAGGGTTATTATGCTGGCAGCGCGGGGAGTCATCATCTGCTTCTTATAGAAATGTATCACTACGGCCCGTGGCATTTCCTGTCAACCCTTCGGCTCGCACGCCCACTTTGCAACCTCGTAATGTTTGTCAATCAATGCAGAAGTGACTATTACCCACAATGGGCAACAGACCTGCTACTGCGCGGAGCAGCTAGCCAATCGTGCGTACATATTTGTTCCAGGTCTACAAACACATCAACAATAGAGTGAATGTGCTCCTTTAACAGCTGTTTGGGAAAATATTTGTAATGTTGGTAAATGTCTTTTATTGACATAAATATTCATATTACAAGCATTACTGATAGCAGCTGCTCTACCATGAAATTATCAGTTATTTCTCACCTTTTTTTGGTATTTTTTGGTTATTAGTCTACATTATTTTGCATAAGGATTTCTTGAGATCGATTTACTGTATGTGGGAATAGGGATCATTAAGATTTTAAAATTGCATTTAAATGTATTGGGAAAGTTATGTTGTATTAAAAAAACGTTGTTAAAGTGTCAATTAGATGCCCATTTGCACCAACAATAACCATAAAGTTTTAAAATTTGTTCTAAAGGTCTGTGCACTCTGAGAAATAACTATAGAGGTAACTATAACGATAACTATTAATAATACATTCTTTTAACTACCAACCTGTTGTTATAAGCATGTGCTTAAGTTATGTCATCTGCTGCTTTAAATGCTCAAGTACTGTAAAGACAGATGGATTCTGATTGGTCATCAATGTTTTTATTGTTCATCAGCTGGAAAAAAAAAATTCTGAATGTGTTTCCAACGATATCGTTCCTCTGTGTCATTATCACTGTAGTTGTGGTGTGGACTTTGCTATTTTCATAGAATTAGAATGATTATTAAAACATTGTAGTTATCGTCCTTTAACTTAAGGAATCCACACAACATAATGATAATGGCACAGAGTAACAATATTGTTGAAATCACTGTCAGCTGATGAATAATAAAAACATTGACATCAATCAAAATCCATTTCACATTAAAGTATGTGCTGCAATTATGTTCACAGAGTGCTTAGCATAAATATAACATTATCATCCATTGGTGTGGATGCTGATACAAATTAGTAATCATTATAGTTGCCATTATAGTTGTATTGTTCTTGGT